GCAGGCATTTATGGCGCACCCGGGGCAGGGTTCCCTCCCGCCCTGCCTCTCCTCGCCCCCGCGCAGTCATACCAGCCGGCCTGGCTCCCCGCGGGCATCGCGCCTCACAGCCCGCTGCGGACCTGCGCCTCCGTCCTGCTAATGACACAGCAGCCCGGCTGCCACCGGCACAACGTGACTCCAGCAGCTGCAGCCTGGAAAAAAAAAAAAAAAGCAACCGACCAAACAGCCCTAAATGTGCACAATCAAGTGATGAGTGTTTGTATTTCTGATGCTTTGAGGCCAGCTCACAACCCTCCCTCCACATAATATTCAGGATGTTTAGGAAGGGGTATTTTTCTTTTAATAGGATGGCATAGTCACAAAGCTTTAAAGAAATAAATGAGTAAATCGTCTGTGGTAATAGCAACATACTACGAACGGGGCATAGTGACGAAGTTCAAGTCTATTTTTAAGCCTGCCTGGCAGCATGTAGGTGCAGACAAGAGCCCATGACCCTTTCTGCCATTCTGAAGCTATGGACATGGCTGATGTCTCTGTCCCAGCTCAACACCAGAGTTGTTTTTGCTCCCTAACGAATACTATGGGAAGCCAGAGAAGCCTCAAGCTGTTTTGAAGATTGTGCAACCATGCTTGGGAGCCTACCTGCCTTTGCTTGAGTGCTTTCCTCGCTCACATTTCACAGGATGCGACAGGAAGGGAAATACAACTGAATCCGACGGCTCTGGTAATTGGACTTGAATTCTTCCTGTGCCCGGGGGGTGAGGTGGGTGCCTCTCAGATAAGCAGCCTAATCAGCTTTGCACTTGTGTCCCATCTGGAAACAGATTGTTCCGAAGTACACCTGAGAAGCGAAGGTGGTTTTTTTTTAAGATAATTGTACCAGCAAAATTGGGGAGTGTGAATGTGCCTGAGGTAGTAGGATCTCTTTATTTTTATTCATAGTTAATTCATTCAGCCGAGCCGATTTCACGCCAGAATGCAGACTCCGAACGCGAAGGACGATTGGATTGTCTGCACCACACATATGCATGGTGCCTACCCGGCGGAGCGACTGCTGCGACAGAGAGCCATGAGCCACCCCAGGCACATGGGCAAGATAAGGAAAAGGCTGGAGGATATCAAGAACCAGTCCCAAAAGTTGACAAAAGCCGATTTCAGCCACAATGAAAGCATAAGGTTGGCCACCGATGCCTTCCTGGATGGTGGGACGGAGTCTTACTTCGAAGCTCTAAGCAAAGAGGGGGAGGTGGATTTCCTGTCCTCGGTGGAAGCTCAGTACATCAAGGATAACGCCAGGGAGTCCTACTACGCACAGGAGTCCCTGGCCACTGACGGGGCGGCCGCACCGAAGCAGAACGATGCCAGGTCGCTCCCCTCGGGGACCTACTTCCCCACCATTTCGGACAGCAGTGAGCCAGCTCTGCTGCACACATGGATTACAGCAGAGAAGCCCTATCTGAAGGAAAAATCCACTGCCACTGTGTATTTCCAAACAGAGAAGAACAGCAACATTAGAGACATCATACGCCGGTACATCAACAAGAGCACTCAGGTATGGGGGGGGAATGACTGTTCCCTCTGCTCTTGGTTGTCTTCCTGCTCTTAAACAGCTTAGGTAAAGGTGGTGTGTGATATGAGCCAGCTCAGTGGGTTGCAGTGGGACTTTGCTCTAGGAAGTGGCTGTAAAGAGGCCATTGTTGAACATAGGCAATGCTTTTTGTTTGTTTGTTTGTACTCACACTAACGCCCTTTTATGTTGGTGACCTGAAAAAAAAAAAAGCATTCCCTCTCTTTTGTAAACTCCCATTAACCCACTGGAGCAAAAGTGCCATCGAAAGGGCAGCTGGGCTCAGGCTCCTCTCACATCACCAGCAGGATGCTTTGCTCCCTTCAGCCCCTTGTGCTGGTAATGAGGATTAAGCCAAAGTGAGCTCTGAGCCCTTAGCATGTTTTAGGGGACTCGTGGGAGATGTGGGCGAAGGGGAACCCAGGAAGGGCACACGTGTCTGGTGTGCCAGCAGCTGTCCCCAGAGGTAGGAAATTACTGAGAAGAAAAGACGTTTCATCTCTAGTGCATTGTCACTGTCACTAAAAATGGCGCGTGGGCTCCGAGAGGAGACTGGAGCATAACTTGGCGGGTGGGAAAGGTGCAGGTGGTGACCCTAACAACAGGCAAAGTGACAGGAGGGGACAGAGGTTCCAGCCACAAGGCAGGCTGCCCAAGTGCTGGGAAGCCAGAAGCTGAGCAGCAGGAGAGGGACAAAAAGCCTCTGTCATGTGTGTTCTGGCAGCTCTCCTGTTTTCCTGGGGGAAAAAAACATAATAAAATTGCCATTTCAGGGCTGTGTTTACTATTGTCTGGGAGTTTCCCCCTTGGATAAACTCTGGACACCACTAGCAGTTCCACAGGGGAGGTCAGGAAGAAGGGCAGGCTGAGTGCCTGCTGTCGGGCACTGGCTGCAGGGCCCGCTGGAGCTACGGGCTTGGATTTGTTGTTCTCCTGCAAGGGCAAGCGCTGGGTCTGACGAGGCCGAGTGCAGTGGCAGGGGAGCAGAATCCCCACTGGCAGGTGCCCTGTCTAAGGCCCCAAATGCTCAGCACGTCAGGGGAAATACAGATCAGTGATTTTAAGCTGGTGGCCTCAGAAAGATCCAGTACAGGAGAAAAGACTCTGGACTAATAAGATAAGCAGCCTATCAACCCAGGCCAATTTTTTTCTGTCCCAGCAGGAGAAAACTTGTAGGGGAAGAAGTAGGAAATGGGATATAAATCTATGGTTCACATGACCTCCTTAACCATCTGATTTACATTACAAGAGGGTGCTGGATTGACACTTACTCACAGTATAAATTTGGCAACTACTTTTTGAGTACAGTTTTTCAGTGGCAGCATATATTAATTAGTATCTGATAAGGGTCCACCCTGGAGAGACTAGTATTTGATACATCCATTAGCAACTTAACAGAGTAATACTCTGTGTATGGATGATACCAAGCTGCAAAGGGTTGATGAGCAGCACTATAATGTTAACACATTTGTGGCACAGGGGCAAATGAAATTTGGGGCAAAGAAGTGAGAAGTACTGCAAGTAAGAGAGGGAAGTGGGGTGCAGAAATACAAATTGGGAACAGCTGCTGGAGAAGCAGGACTAGAGAGAGTGGTCTGGAGCTGTGGTGAGGCTGGATGTGTATTGTGCTGTTTCAAAAGACAAGGTGTGGGGTTGTGGGATCCTCACAGGCTCCACAAATAATTTGGCTTGCCTGAACAGGATGCTGGCTGTGTGGGATGTGCTTGGTCTTGTGGGATTTCCTTGTGGTGGTGAAGGAATAAGCTTGCTGCAGGTGTGGGCATAGGCTTTGGAGTAAGACTCAGTGCAAGTGGGAAGCAATTAGCAAGCCAGACCTGCAGAGATTCTGGAAAGTTTGTTTTGATTGAAGATGATACCCTGTGAGTGCACTCATCATGGGTTCCCTTTCTAGTCAGTGGAGAAATAGGCACCTTCTGAAGATAAGTCAGGTGTTAGCTGGGCTGACTTGCCCTAGGGAGATGACCCTTTCCATGGACAACAGCAGACCTAGGTGAAGACCAGCACCTCCGTGAGTGAGGCCGTGCCCAGCACCGAGCGCAGGGGCTGGAGTGTGGGCGTGGGTTTGTATCACATTGACAGTTCCCTCGGTCCACGCTGGCTGGAGGCTCTGCATTTAGGTACCTGTCAGGGCTTTGGGGCCCAGCCCTGAGACTTTCACACACTGTTCTACCAGTTGTGAATTGGGAAGCATAGATGTATGATTAAATTAAAACTGCTGGTTTATAAATGAGTATTAAAATAAAACAAACAGAAGGAGCTGTTGCAGTCGATCCCCTCACCACCACCAACAGCGTGAGGATTTAGAGCTAGGACAGTTCCAGCTAGAAATCATAACAGGGAAAGCATCATCCAGTGATTCTTCCTAAACACACGTGACTTACACAAGCTCATCAGCCATTTGACAAGGGCTGTGGTCTCTTATTTTAGCTACATCCTTTTTATTGCCTGATTAATGTTTCAATGTATTTCCTAATGCTCAAATCTACCTACAAATTTGTGGGTCATCTTGTGTTTTATGATTAAAAGAGCTTAACTGAAGTGCATACATAGCATGTTATATTGGCTTTGTATGAGCAACAAAACAATGAAGCAACTTTTCTCATCAATTTACCAATTCAAGCACTTACGGAGAAAACCAGAAGAAACATCCACATTTATGTCCCAAGATTTGTGTTTGTTGGAATATGTTTTTTAAACAAATAAACTACATTGCAGTGGCCTCACAGGAAACCTTAAGTTATGTAAATTGACTCTGCTAATGCCTCTGCTTTCCCCCCTAGGTGCTAGCTATCGTGATGGATGTGTTCACAGACACTGAGATTCTTTGTGACCTCCTGGAGGCAGCCAACAAGCGCATGGTGTTTGTCTACCTGTTGCTCGACCATGGCAATATAAATCTCTTCTCAGAGATGTGCGACAAGTTGCAAATTGCCGAGGATCTCTTCAAGGTACAGTGGCTCTGTGAAGCTCTTAGGCTCAGATTCATCTGCCTGACTTCAGGCACTCTGAGCTAGAAGCATGCTTATGCTAAGATCAGTCCACCTTGTAATTAAAAGGGAGCAAGAGATTTCCAGAGGTAGTATTAGCACACCTAATTCCTCTCTGGAGATGACTACATTTTCCTATGGATGTTATAGGAAGTTAAAGCATTTCCATTAGGTTCTTAGATGAAACCAGCCCAGGCCCTGAAGTCTTAAAACAGAGCGTAAGTCCCCTGCTGGATTCTTCTAACATAAGCAGTACCACTGCTTCTCTTTATGAACTCTATAGCAGCTGCGGCCTGGCAGCCACAGGTAGCAAGCAGATAAAACTCTTTTGCATGGCAATGCCTTGGCTACACCACGTGGTTCTTCATAGAATGTGCTAAAGCTCCATTTTAGAGCTAATGCCTCAGACTTAGCTGTCTGTTGGCTTAGTCTGTTTTTCTCTCTGCCAGAGGGAACCGACTTTAAAAATAACCTAGGGACTGTTTCAGTTGTTGCTTGAGATGCTGTAGGACACCTGTGGCATCTTCATGGGGATGGCTGATCCCACAGAGACAAGAGCCTTCTGGAAGGTGGGCAGGAGACCTGAGGGCATCTTGCATGCACCAGACACCAGAGTTTCAACAGCCGAGTTCCACCCCAAATGTATAAAGAAACTGTAATCGATGCTCATAACAGTGTTTGCAAGTCTGTAAACTTGACTAGAACAAGGCTGTGCTAGTTCTTGTCAGTTGCTGCTACAACACAGGCTTTGACAAGGCATGAGTCAAATCCTTGGTACTACTCATTTACTAAGGCCTTGATTGTGCAAAGTGTGTGTATGGAGAGCAGAGTCAGGTCTGGGTGCCTGGCCTGCCTTAACACACTTGCTCAGGTACAAGGAGAGAGCAAAGCATTGGAAGGGCCAAGTGGACCTGCTGCTCCACTCAGAGGTGTGCCAGCTGCTGATCCTGCAGGACAGCATTCAGCTGGGCTGCACCAGAAGAGCAGAGCCCGTGTCCTCGCAGGGCCAGGTGGATCGGAAGCACAGAGGGTTTGCCGTGCTGCATCGTGCCATAACCAGCACCAAACAAGAGCTCTCAGCTAGAGCAGATTGCTGCTGGGGTGTCAGTGGGAGTAACAGACAGCTCTCGGCTGCAGACACCTCTCACACTCATTTTGGTGGGGTAGCATCATCAGCTGTTGATGCAGGGCACAGCTCCAGCTGCCTCAGTTCCCGAGCAGGTAGCTGAAATTCCGTGTGTATGGACGGGGTTCCCTGGCCTCCCTTAACACACTTGCTCAGGTACAAGGAGGGAGCAAAGCATTGGAAGGGCCAAGTGGACCTGCTGCTCCACTTGGCCCCTCCAATTAAAGAAGTGACTGTGTGGCGGGTGGCAGCTTGGCCAGGTCTCCTCCAGCCCCAAACCTCCAAACACCACATGGGCGAGTCCGGAAAGAAATCATAACAGACACCAGGGAAGTGAAGAGTTAAAGGCAGTGTGGGGAAAAGGGCCTTCTGCTTTTTAATTATTTTTTTTTCTTTACAGAATATTTCAGTCCGCAGTGTTACTGGTGAGGTTTACTGTGCCAAATCAGGCAGGAAGTTTTCAGGACAAATACAAGAAAAATTTCTTATCTGTGACTGGAGATACGTGCTCTCTGGATCTTACAGGTGAGACAAGCTGTTGTGGTTCACATCTAAGTGCTCTTTTATAATTTTTAATATTACTTCATGAAAAAATACAATGGAAATTTTTGTGCAGGTGAGAAGGGTTCTTTTTAACAAAACCCCCTTGTTTTCAAATGTGTTGTTTTTCAATAATCCATTTAACTTGCTTTAAAGCTGATATTATTTCTTTATGGAGCATTGTATTTAGCTTAAATGCTCAGAAACTAACGTAAACAATATTGCTGGTGCAGCCCTGGAGCAGAACTAGAAATGTGTTTTGCTTAATGTTATGCTTTCCTCATTGTTTGGGTCCTCAGATGCTGTGATCATGAGACATGAAACACGTCCACCTCCCTTGGGGTCCCTTAATGTAGCATACGTCACTTGGCTTATCTGAGGATTTGGTCTCCATATGACAGGTTTAGTGGTTAAGGGTAAAACAGAAACACTTCAGACTTACTGTTTTTTCTTATATTTCATTAGTAGGTAGGCACTATGTCTGCTCAACTGTTGTATCTTCCTTTTTTTTTCTTTTATTTTTTGTGAGCTGAGTCTGTAACTCCCCGTTTTTGTGTTGCTATAATTATTTCAGATAGAGGATGTAGCATCTCAAAAAATGAGGTTTTAATTAAGATCCAAAATACTTCAGTCAGGGAATTTCAAGAGACCATAAGCTTGCATCAAATGAAGTTTCTAAGCCTCATGGCTACATAAATAAGCTTCACAAATGACAGAATGTATCCTAGAAATAAGATACCAAAAGACAAGAGGTAATTATTTAATTAAAAGGATCAGATTATTTTTCTTAATCCCAGTTTATGATTTGGATGCCTCTAGTTTGATAAAACTGTGGCACCAGGAAGATTACATAACTATAAGTAGCAAAGGTAAAGGTGGCATGTGGGGTTAGCATATGCTGCAGGATCTCAGCTGTCCACAGTGGCAAGCATCCAGTTTTCAGTCTGTTTCCAAACAAACCATCAGACAAAAACGAGGTTTTTTTGTTGTTGTTGGCCACTTTGTGGTTTTCTGGTTCTTTCAGGCTTTTTTTAATCCTTCACCAAAGATATGTAGAAATGCAACAGCAGATTTATCTGGAGAGTAGAGGTGAAGAACATGTAAGAGAAGACAAACAGAGCAAGGTCTATTTTCTTTAGCCAGGAAGCTTCCTTTTGACTTCTCTTTTCCATCAAAAAAAAAAAACAAACCAAAAAAAACCACACACACACACAAAAAAACCCCACCCTCAAAGTCCTGTGCAGAGTCACTTCTGTCATTCTCTACTGCTGTTGCAGTATCTTCTAACCTCATGACCCTTGTCAAACTACCTAATGCCCTCTCCAGCAAGCAAGCAGAGGCAGTGGTGAAGAACAAGTATACACACTATTGAACTTCAGTGTGCTCAGCACCAGTTTGCAGAATCACTTTATTAACCTCAGAGTTTAACTTTAGCTCTCATTTTATTAACCCAAACATTTTCTGTTATCCCTAAGCCTTATCCAACAGCATCTGCAGGTATAAACAACAATGATGTTGAGTAAAGCAGACTGAAACTGTTCTGCAATGCATTTGTTGGAAATCAAATCGGAATAGAACTTAAAACTAATACAACAGCAAATTCCACCTAAGTGCTGTGCTCTGCATGACTTTTGGGAACAGGCTGAGAACAAAAGCCCTTCAGGACATACTGCTCTGAAAGAGACCCTAGCCTGCTGTTTCTATCCAAAGTGTTTGAGGACAAAATATATTTGCCTAATGGACAACGAAGGGGACTGAAGCTGGCAACTAGTTAGAGGCAGAAGAACCACCACTGACTCTGTGGCATCTCCTGCTCTGGAGTGGTTTTTCAAACCACATTAAAAAACCACTGTTTGAGTCAGTGTGGATAAGCGTGCGCCTGCCACACAGGGCAGACCAGAGCTGAGAAGCTTCTGAAAGCTGTTCCACCCACGTGTCTGCACAAGTGTTTGAAGTTACAGTTCTTCTCTCTGTTTCTATTGCCAGTGTCTATAGTGGGGGGTCAGGATGCAGTAATTCTTCTTGCTGTCTCTGTGTTACTCTGCCCCATCCAGAGGTAACTACGTTATTCCTTTTTTTAAGAATTAATTTGAAGCTAGATAGCGTATGAACTCGGTGCTCCTGAAGAAGGCAAAATAAAGACAGCAGAAAGCATAGACCTCCATCCTCAGGGCCTGCTGAGCACCTCCCTGGCTGCTGCTGCTCTGGAAGCCACCAGCCACTTCTAACATCTGACACCAGGTGCTTTGTTGAGAGCAGTGGTTCAGCGGGGGCAGGCTTCTCATACAGAGGTTGTCCCACCAGCGGGCACAGGGGGTGGGAGCATCCCTGATGAACAGTAATGCAGAGGGTGCAGTCAGGGAAAAAAACATTCCAGTGCAAATGAAGGTTGGACAAGAGAGGTGGGTGTTGATTCAGACAATTGTATATGAGAGGCTCCTGAAGGTGGTGTAGATTTTGGGATAAAGCCCTGGAAAGATGACTGAGAAGTGTCTGTTAGTGAATGAATGTGTGATACAGCTTTGTCCCCAAGCTAGGCAGTGCTGCTTTGTGTGTTCTCTTCTTTCTGATGTGCTTCACTCCAAGAGGCCTGGTAGAAAAATGATCCTTCTGGGCAGACAGTGACAATAACTGTCTTCTCTGAGCCTTTCCTAAAAATGCACTTGGAATTGTAAAGAGGGCCTAAAACCAAAACAGTGAGTTTCCTCTTAGAATGAAGCCAGTGAAAACCTGTGAAGTCTTTATGTTGAGTTCTGCTTTGCTCTTCAGCAAAGTGACCAGAATGTAAATTGCTGTGACTCACTACATGAAGTCCACAAACTTCATGTCAAAAATCACGCAGGTCTCACCTTGCTACTTGGCAGGTGACCTATTTGCCATCAGTCCATCTTCGGGCTATTAATTGGATCCAACTTTCTCTGCCTGTGAGGGTTACAGATAAGATCAATGGGCCACCAATGAGAATCTGTCCATCAAGTACTCCAGGACGTTGTACGTGGGACTAAGTTATCAAAATTGGGTGCAACGGGCATTTTTCCTCTGATCTTGTTGGGGTTTTAAAAGCCATTTATAAGTGTAATTAAATTTTATTTCACTCTAATTTTCCTTTTATAAACTAGATCTGTCTCTAGCACATAAAGTCTAAACCTGCCACCCCACACCTCAGCCCTTTACTGAGTTTGTAACCTTCAGCACAGGTAACCCAGACTAACTGCGGGTGAGTTTGTATTTGCTCTGAACTCCTCAGCAGCCAGGCGAAGGACATGCAAAGGTTTAGAGGGCACTCGTTAGGCAACGTTGAGCTAGCAGAGTAGATGTGACACACACAGCACCATGTTAGCTTGCTGTGCTGTTCACCTCGACCCCCGAGGTTTTGTCCATGTTTGGAATGATTGGAACAAAGTGCATGAGAAATATGCTAGTAACTTACTGTATATTTTCTTGTCCGGTCATAAAATGTACAGTATATATTGTAGGATTGCCCAGTGGCATTCAACCAGTGATTTCTTCACTCCTCCCCTTCTCTTGAAGTAATAGAATAAAACCACTTCATACCCCAAACCCAACCCTCTTTCAGAATGCTGGGAACAGGCAGGTGTAAGTTGTGTCTCTTTATTGCCACAGCATCAGCTCAAGCTGTCAGTCCCACTGAGCTTCACAGGAGTTTTGTCAAAACATGACAAGAACAAGATTTAAAGTGCACACACTTAGGGCCACAGCTGGCTCTCAGCAATCCTTGTGCAAAGCCAGCACAGCTAACAGAGTCATGCAGGAACCTGTGGGGCAGAGCTTTGCCAGCACAGAATAACCTTGGGTTCAGCTCCAGCGCTGCTCTGTGCGCTCAGCCGCGCGGCTCCAGCCCCAGTCAGCTTGGGGAGCAATTACATTTCATTCTCTCAGCCAGGCTCACTCTATTGCTGCTGCTGCTCAGACAAGGCAGCCTGCACAGCACACTCAGGCTGGCTTGTGGTTTTGTAGAAGAGCATAAATTTATGTCTGCCAAGTGGACTAGGGAAGCACATAAAAGAAAAATCATTTAGAAGCTATGGATATCCTAAGGTGTGTCTCTGGACTACCAGAATGAAAACTGTTGTGGTGCTTTCCCCTTAGTTTATATAACAAAGTAGAATATTTAGTTTTGGAAAGCCTGTGGGAAACATTTATAATCTCATTTTCTCTGTAGTGAGGAAAATAAACATTTGTCAGGTGTGGGGGGTTGTTCTGTGGGAGTGGGATGTGACAGGGAGCTTGGTTTTTTATGTGCTTCTCTTGACCAATGGAGAAGTAGTACAGCAAGCTGAAAACAAAGGATGGTTGTTTTTTTCACTAGGCTTTCTCATGTCAGTTTTGAGTGGGTGGGAGTTACCAAGTAGCACAGCATTCTGCAGGGAGGGTACGATTCACGTGTGCACAGACAAGATGTGGTAGGGCCTGAATTGAAGCATTGTGCCTGGAAGAGAGGTACCTAAAAGAGGGGTCTAAATTCCTTTCCATGGAACAGACACCCAGACCTTGAGTATCGTACCTGACATTTCGTCCTGCAGTGGATCTGGATCACCACTCCCTTTAGGAGGTTGTATAACCTCACAAGGTTTCTCGAAGGGTTTAGGTAGCTGCAATAACAAAGCTTGATACAAGTCAAAGAGCTCTGATGTGAACTGGCCTGAAATTCAGCTGCGACACCGTCTGCGTCCCGTGTTTAAGCTTCAGCAGCAGAACGCCTTTGCCCCTCGCGGCGCCACGGCAGGGGTCTCCGGTCCCTCAAGGCTGACGTTAACACTGACCCTTCCTTGTCTCTCCTTCCAGCTTCACGTGGTTGTGTGGCCAGGTTCACCGCAACCTCCTCTCCAAGTTCACGGGTCAAGTTGTGGAGCTGTTTGATGAAGAGTTCCGACACCTTTATGCCCTGTCCAAGCCAGTGAGGGGACCGAAGTCTCCACCGCGCACCTTGCCTTACCTGTTCAACAAGAGCTGGGCCCCCCAGCGCAGCCTCCCCGACAGCGACGAGGGAAGCGCCAACACGCTTTCCGATCCCTTCAGCAGCCTCTCGGCGGGCAGCACCCACCAGGCCAAGCAAAGCCCAAGAACTCTCATATTCAGCGGCAACTTCACCCCCCAATCACCTCTTCACAGAGTTAATTCCTTCCACGGCTACGTCTCGTACACCCCGCCGCCACCACCGCCACAGGCAGCCATCCAGGCCAACTACTACCAGCCGCACTGCGTGGCCGATAACTCCCCAGTGCTGTACAACAACATGAACGTTTACAGACCCATAAGACTGAGACAAGAGGAACAAAACAGGACAGGGTTAAACTCACCCTGGAGATGCCTCCACAAAGCTAACCTGTTTGCATAATAACCACCTTCTTTGGAATTGCAAGTAAGCGTAGAGAGGACCTGTTTAGCAATCACTGGTGTACTGATGAATATAGAAATTCTGTATAATACAAAATGGGGGTGATTTGAAGCCTCTTATTTTGTTTTGCTGCTTACAGATGCTTCGTTTCCCTAATTAAAGCCAAGCCTGCTAACATGTAAGCCTTGGGTGCATCACAATCCCAGGAAGAACACATCCAAATAATGCTGCTCACAGTGCAACACTGCTGCTGCCTGTCACCTGCCCTCAGTGGCATATTTGTGGAGCAGGAGATTCAAGTGGTTGACTGCTTTTCACATGGCCAGGCACCTGAAGGTGGGCAAGTCACCGTTTATTACCACGCATTTCAGGCACTTGCGTAAGGAGACCGAAGGCTGCTGCTGAGGTGCCAAGCCGAGGGGATGCTGGCAGCAGCGGTCGGCCTGCGTGCTGTCATCACACCTTAATCCTGACTTGGGAGGACTCCTTCAGGGCCGCCGGGGCAGCGGAGTTCCCACCACGGCGCCGTCTTGGAGCTGCCTGCTTGAGGGGCACAGAGGAACCTCTGCTCACCGTGGCCTGGGCCCAGACCCACGGCGGGGTCGCGGCGGACATCCCGCCGCCACCCCACGGGACCACCCCCCAGCCACTCCACGGGGGCGTTCCAGCACTCTGTGTCCCAGAACGCCAGCCCCACCAGCTCAGAGTGATCTTCCTTACTGCAGGGCAGCTCTGCAGATTCGGACCGGAAAATGAAGCAAAGTTCTGCAAGTAACACAGCAGAACTGAGTTCCCATTCATTTAATAGCATGTGGGTCTTAGAAATCCTCTGAGTGGTCATTATTGAAAATGAAGGTAGTGATAACAAGCTTTCTTTCAGAGTTCTTCAAGGTTTCTGATTTTTTTAAAGAGAAACTGTGCGTCTGCAGTGCCCATTGAATACAGTTACAGAGGCAGTCAGAGAAGCTCAGAGGCTTGAACCAAATTGGAAGAACTTTCTGACAAATAATAAAATAATCCATGAAAACTAAGGAAGTTTCTGTAAGTGAAATAGAAAAAAAAAAAAAAAAAGAAAATTCATGAAACTAAGATTTTCCATCCAAATCCCAAAGTTACTAGATGCCTGACATCTGTTGATTTATCAGTAGATTATTTTATCTACTGATTCTAACCTACTAAAGATTATTTCACACTTAATTTCTTTTACACCATCTTTTCATCTTTCATCTGACTCCAAAAGAACCTAAACACATTTGCACATCTGGGCCATTTTGCCTGACTCCTCACCTGCTCAAAAAGGAATACAATTTAATTCTTCAGGCTGTGGATGACGAAAATTGTGTGCAATGGCAAGATGTCAGGTGAGGAGTTTCTCATCCTTGGGAGAGCTTTCAAATCACTTTGAAAGTATACCAGTAAAGTTTACAGAACATTTTGAAAGGTACAGGATGGACATATCCTGCTTTAGCTTCGGTGTGGATTTTTTTTTACCTGTGATATCAAATTTTGGAGTCCAGAATAACAATAAACTATTGCATATAATTGTAAATTCTGTAGATAGCAACATTTTTCAGATTCCTTGGGAAGAAGGGAGAGTCGATTTTCATTCCTATGACAACTCTACTTAATTATCTAAATATGGAAACCATGCAAATAAAAAAGAAGACTTTCATTAAAATCTCTTTGTGAATCAATTTGTTTGTTCATAGTCTCTTGACTTGTGCACTGTACTATCTTCTCTTCTGAAAGTTAAGTGAGTTCCATACAGTCAGGGCCCAGGTGAAGAGGAAACACATTTTGTTTCTTCTGAAATCAACAGGAACAGAACTAAACGCGTGTTTTAGGCTCCCCCAGCCTAATCCATTTTTTCTTCTAAATTTGTTTCTGTTCTCTGATCCCACTGTGGCCCAACTAAAGGTGGCAGAGAGGGGCATATGGGGAGAGGTTTTTAGACCACTACCTCTGCAGCCTTCAGTTCCTCAGGCCATGACCTGTAAAATCCACAAAGGAGATCTTCTCATCTCTGTGAGGCAAGATAGTTTGCCTGCGGAAGTTTTGGAGAACACAGCTAATGAGAAGTAGGTAAGGGACAAGCTAATAATCCAGAAGGAGCCCTGTGAGTTTAGAGGAGCTAATTTCAACCCTGGATCAGGGATGGAGCCTGTGCTAGCTCAGACAACAGCTGAACTTGAAGATCAAGTGGAATTTGAGTTTTGATAGAAAACAATGGAGTTTATGATTTCAGAAATGAATTATGGCAAAAATCCTAACAGGTCCCCACAAGCATGGTAAAAATGTGGTTACAAGCAGGTGCAGAAACTGCCAGTTGGGGAGGTGCCGGCGGGGTGCTGCCAGGGCCCGTCGCCTGCTTCACAGGAAGGGCCTCAACAGGCTCTGCTGCCACACAGCCTGCCCTCACCGGGCAGAACGGGCAGCTGGCTCACTTGAGAGAAGGGGTGCCCTCCAGAGGGACCTGGATGGGCTGGAGGCCCATGCGAACCCCTTGAAGTTCAACAAGACCAAGTGCAAGGTCTAGCACCTGGGCTGGGGTAACCCTTAGTATCAGTACAGGCTGGGAGACAGAGGGATGGAGAGCAGCCCTGCGCAGAGCGACCTGGGGGTACTGGTGGGCGAGATACCAGACACGAGCTGGCAACATGCACTCGCAGCCCAGAAGGCCAATCATATCCTGGGCTGCATCAAAAGAAGTGTGGCCAGCAGACCCAGGGAGGCAATTCTGCCCCTCTGCTCCACGTGGTGAGACCCAGCTGGGGAACTGCGTCCAGCTCTGGGGACACCCCCTGCAAAGGCCCCTCGTTACTCTCCAGAGTGCCCCAAGGCCTCATCTAGGCTTTGCTGGGGCCTCATGGAGGCACCTGCTAACCTACAGAGGTCCCCCCATTCTACAGAAATATTAAGGTCTAGGAAACAAAATCACTTTTCAGTGCAAATTCACTTCTGCAGATAGTCTGGAACTTTGTACAGGCTACACTATTTATGCTTTCTAGTCCCCACCACCCACATGTAGAGCCTTCATAATATGAGCATAATATGAGCCCTCATCTTTGGCAAGACTGCATTCTGCTGATCTTGTGCCCTCAGCAGAGAGCTGGAGAAAGGAGAGAGCAAGCTGGAGCTTGGCTGGCACAGGACCAGGAGAATCAAGTCTTGCCAAAGGCAGCTGAGGGGTTCCAGGCCCAACTGGCTGCAGGTGACAAGGGCTCATATTATGTGAGCAGTGTCAGCCAAAGGTGTGAGGAGTTAGAGGTGCAGCTTCTGGAGATGATGGATGAAAAGACCAGACCGGCTGAAGAAAATTCTCACCCCCGTGGGCACATGTGCTGGGCAGAAAAGGTTGGAGCTGGAAATGCTGACCTGAAGGGGCAAGTGGTGCGAGTGGCAGAGGAGCAAAATTCTGTCATCCAAGCTGTTAGCTCTCTTTAGACCCGACTGGAAGCTGCAGAGCACAGACTGAAAGCCGTGAGAGACATCGTGAGAAATGCTCAGGGAGAAGTAAAAGGCACCATGGAGAAGCCTGGCAACTGTTTTGAGCCCAGGCAACTGAACCAAAGAATGGGTTTTGGAGCCCCTCAGAGCGCGCTTGGGCAGGGGACAGTCCTGGGTCCTCCATCCATTCAGAGGACCCCACAGGTGAGGCAGCAGAACAGGTAGCAGACAGTCTGTCATCCTGCAGGCTCTGGGCCATCAACTGGGAAAGCTCTGAGCAGTCATAGCTGGATGCAGCCACGGTCCTTGTGATGATCCCCGTGAGCAGCCTGGACCAGAGCCTCCTCTGACTGCTGGCCAATCTGTTATGCCTTTGGACAGGCGGACGAAGACGGTTGGTCTGTGGGAGAGCTGGCGGATGGCACAAGAGGATTCATCCCCTCTAACATGCTGTAGACTGTTCAGGTGGCGACCTGGAGAACACGAGCTGGAATGATCCTCGTTATTACATTTTTGGTGTGTCACCTGTTTTGGAGGAAGATGAAGACAATCTACATGTGGGTGGTGGGGACTAGAAAGCACAAATAGTGTAGCCTGTACAAAGATCCAGAGTATCTGCAGAAGTGAATTTGCACTGAAAAGTGATTTTTTTTCTAGACCTTAGTATTTCTGTAGAATGGAGGGACCTCTGTAGGTCAGCAGGTGCGTCCATGAGGCCCCAGCAATGCCTGGTTGTGGCCTTGGGGCACTCTGGAGAGTAATGAGGGCCCCACATGGGCCCCTGCAGAGCCTGGCACAGGCCTCTGGGGCTTTCTGATGGGTAACTTGGCCAGTCGGAGCACCACAGCTGCTGGCAGCAACGGGGACCTTCCCGTCAGGGCAGGGTGCTCTGCACGCCCTCGCCCTGAGCAGCAGGCAGCAGAGAAAAACAGAACATGGAGCTGGCATTGCCCACGGCACCGTCGGCGCAGGCATTGCTCGTGCACCAGGGGGGGATGCCTGAGGGGCACCTCGAACCCACCCTGCTCTGCGCTTGCTGCCCGGAGCAAGCTGGACAAACATCTTTGTCCCTGCAGCGTGTCCGGTCCCTGCCCAGCCCCAGCCAGCCCTGCAGCTCTCCTCACCGAGATGCTGCTGCCAGTGTCCCGCTCATGGAAGCGGTTCCGAGCGCGGGGCCCGCTGCCTGCTGGCACTCCCGGCCGTGGAGCACACCTCGCACGGGGAGCAGCCAGAGCAGCGCCTGCTGGAGGGCATCCCCTGAGCTTGCTGCTCGTGCTCCTTGGCAGCATTTCACCGGCTGCTCCTTCCACAGGCTGCTTCCAGCCGCCGGGGACTTCACCTGACTACCGTGACTTTGCAAATATGGAACGTGGCTTAGCAACTACATCAGCTGATTCCCTCGGGGCTCTGGGATCCATCTCATCAGGTCCTATTGACCTAGGCACGTTCAGGTTCCTCAGGTGGTCCTCAGGAATCTGATCTCCTCTTCCAGGAGGAGGGACTTAATTCCCCTAGTCCCTCCTTTGACCTCGAAGGAAGGACTCTGAAGTCCTTTGAGGTCTTTCACTCAAGAGGTGTGGGAAGTGAAGTTGCCAGTGAAGACACAGGCAAAAAGGACATTGGGTACCTCAGCCTTCTCCTTGTCCATTGTTACCAGTTTGCCAGAAGTCGCCTGCTTCCACAGGCCACTTCTTTTTTTTTTGGGCAAAAGAGCATGCCCTGGTCTGTCCCTGTTTTTCCCCCTAGAAAATAAAGAGCACCCAGGCTCTCCTCCTTCCTGGACACACCATGCTCCTGCACAGCCCCCTTCCATTATCCTAGCTAGGCCTGCCAGCTGCACCTCCAACCCTGGGGAGGTGATGGAGCAACAGATCCTGGAAGGAACTTCCAACTTGTACTGTGAAGGACAAGGTGATGGGGAGTAGTAAGCAGCAATTTACCATATGAGGCAATTCTGCTTTATCACGTAGGAGGACCAGCTTGCTCATATCAAACGAACCTCCCAGGGGCCAGTGCTTGGAGGGTGTCCCCTCACGAGTTCTCGCTGGCCACCCATCCCCACAGAGAACTACAGTTCAAGGTTTACTGAGCCCTGAAGCACCATCAGTTTTCTCTCTGTTTTCCAGAATTTCTGCCAGCAGCAAACCTGGTTGTACACTGCCTACTAAACCCCGCCTCGACTGATGCTGCCCCTGGTTCTGGCACCTTCCCAGGAAATGCGGATCCTGCAAGGACAATTGGGTGAACTCATGCAGTGTGGGCTGTGTCACATTTTCATCTTATTTCTTCCTTCTCTGTCATGCAGAAGAACGAGAGCGATAGAGGCTCTGGGTGGGCAGCTGGCAGCCAGCTGAGGTCAAACCACCACATAGTGACACAAGTGGCAATGGTTTTAAACTGAAAGAGGGTAGATTTAGACTGGACATAAGAAATGTTTTTATGATGAGAGTGGTGAGAAACAGGAACAGGTTGTCTGGAGAAGTTGTGGATGTCCCACCATTGGCAACCTTCAAGGTCAGGTTAGATGGGGCTTTGAGCAACCTGGTCTAGTGCAAGACATCCCTGCCCATGGCAGGGGGACTGGATTAGATGCTCTCTGAAGGTCCCTCCCAGCCCAAACCAGGCTATGATTCTGCAATGGAGCAAACCGTGTTCACATCTCTAGTTAGAGCACTAACACGTCCCCTCCCCGCAGAGCCAGCGGCACCCAAACGCTCAGCAGCAAGACGCACAATTAGACCGTGTTTGTAGGCAGCAGTCATTTCAGAAACACCAGAGCCAGGGGCTCAGGGTCCTTCCCAAAGCTTCTGCAACACGAGCAAGTGTTGAAACAAAATCAAACCTCTGTAACTGTTAACAGATTCTTACTTGCAGTTTGCAACACCGAAATTTGCTATTTAATGCAGCCTGGATACAGGTGCGTGTACCAACACCAGTAACAGCACCGTAAGAGCTAACATGAAGAAATCTATTGCAGGCAGATGTAGGAACAGGCAGAACACAGAAGCAACGATGAGGCATTCAAATGCAAGATGGAAACACAAAGCCCCTAGTGAGATACAATCAGAAACAGAAAGCTGGAGTTAGAAGTGGCACACCAAAAAAGTGAGAGGCAGGCCAAAAAAGGCGGAATTGAAGTAGCTGAGATGAGAGATAGGCAGGCATCAGCAGAACAGAGGAATATTTCATGGCCCCAGTGCAATAAACACAAGTTATTTGGAACAGTAACTATGTGACACATGCAGAACAACATTCATGTTGTTTTCTTTGCAGTAGTTAAAAACAACATTTTTGCTGTATTGCCCTGTTCGAGCAAATACTGCCTGTTCTTCAGAAGTGCCACTCGCCTCCCCCTCCCGGAGCCAGTGGGGAGTTAACTGTTGCGTTCCCAGGCTAAGAGACAACCTCCAGTCAAACAATCTGCACACACACCAGAAAGTTCCCAAATCACCTCGGCCAGCTGCTGTGTACTTTGGGTTCCGCAGTCACAGAATGGCAACATTTGGCAAGTATTTAATTCACTGCTAAAACAGCACAAATGCTATTCCCACCTCTTAAACTGTGGAGCCAAATCATCTGGCCACTTCCCATTAGATATCTACACAGACCTGGTTCCACAAAAGCTCTGTCATGGTGGCCTAACTACTGAACCTACCCAAGAGCTGTGGCAAAGCCAATTACAGTTTTTTTATATGGTACTCACAACCTTAAGTCTAAGAACAAACTGTGACAAGTCCCTGTTACAGTTTTTATTGACATGTTTAGCACTAAGCTTTCCATGTGTGCCAAGTCCTTTCTGTAAGACATTCTACTGTTGATACGAACATTATAATTAATGTACAGCATGTTATGGACAGTCTCTGCTGAAAACTTATGACACCAGTTAGTTTTAAAAGCATGCCCAGCCCTTCAGGCAGGATTCACTGCCATCCGAATGAAGTGCTCTGCACACACACACTCAAAAATTTCCACCTGGCAGAGCACACGCATGACTGGACCATGTATCCTGCAACACGTTACGAGTGCATTAGTGCTTACCCAAGAACACTTGCCAAGTCACCACCTTTCATAACAAGCTGACCAGGATGTGGTTTAATTGCATTAAGCCACCGAACTATCAAAGATAATTTGACATGGCTGAAAGTGATATTCCATTTTTTTTGAAGAGGTTTTACAGTCAACTCTAGCAGAGGGCTACACCATACCAAGGGTTACTGACAGGCTTCCGAACCAGTATCTTAAAGCTTTAAAATTCACCTAAAAGTAGCAGATACAAAGTGTGTTTACTGATGGTGAATCACCAATCAGTTGCGAGTTATTTCAAGTTTCAGGACTTTTCACTATTTCAGAAAGAAAACGCACAAAAATATGAAAAAAAGTCACAGCAAATTATGCCTAAGAGATTCCTGGTTTTAAACTACATCCTTTAAAGAACACATTTACAACAAGCTCCAAATAATTTAAGTCTCACAGTGTAAGAGATGATGGGGGGAAGCGCACACCTTGTTGGCCTCAAATGTAAAGTATGTCATGCCAAATCAACTACAAGATAACCTCTGCCTTTTTCTAAAGCAGCCCAAAGCACATAGGTGCTTCGGAAAGTAAAGCAAAGTGGTGTCATTAGCAACTGAAGCAGGACATAAGGTGCTGTATGAAACAGCACTGCCAGTTCTCACAGCAAAGATCTTCCTTGCAAAGGATATGATCTGACTAAACACTCTTCAGTACATATATAAACAAACTTGACAGTTTTTCTCCTCCCTCATCTAAGCATAGTGAAGACAAGATTACAGATAATTCTACACCTGCACTTTGAAGAAAGAAAATCTCTTTCTAGTTCTTTTACCACTTAAGATTTTTTCCTAAACATATGGAATTATTCTTCTTGATAATTTCTCAGCATAAATATGTTTAAGATTTCTAGCTATTAATCTGTGAACAGGAAATAACTATAATGTCAATTAATCAAGAAACATTTACAAAAATTAATTCAGAAAATGGCTAATTCCATGGCTCTAAATGTAACAATGTAGACCTTGATACCAAGAAACTGAACATTGTAAGGGAAGGCTTCCATGCCACTGGCATCACAGGCCTCAAAAAAATTCACAGGCTCCTCAAGCACAATATGGTGAGGTTTATGATGGAAAGCTACCTCTGAAAGCTTGACTTTATATTGGATTTCTCATAATCTTAAATACAAACAAATCAGTGAACGAACAAATTATGAGATGTTAAGAGCTTAAATGAAGGTATTTATATATTTATTTTTAAAAGATATACAAATGAATTCTTCAAAAATATTAATATGAACTTTATTGCATATATCATTCCATAATAATTTTGAGATATGACAATAAATACAACAAAAGCTTTAAGTTACTGAAGGTGGGAGAGACATATCTGAATAGGATTGTCTATCAAAGCGACTTAAGTCATCTTGGAGATTACCAAACCATCTGACTTCAAACTCTGTGGCTGATGCAGTTACCAGTGATGACAGTGCTGAAGGGCCTATGCATTTTACTTCACCCTGAAACTCCTCTTTTAGTTTTTCTGGTATAAGATCCTGCCCCATAATCTGCAAACAGAGTAAGCAAGAAGATGGCAAAAAAAGAAAACAACTTGCAGAGAAAGCAGCAAATATGACATTAATACAGATTTTACAAGAAAACGCCTTGACATATGAACCAGACGCCACCTCAGAAGCTTCCAAGTCACGACCAAGTTCTCTGCCTGTTGCATTCTGCAATAAACACAGAGAACTGAGAGGCCAAGCTTCACAGGGACACAACCCCACCCAGCTTCTGGCTGCACTTGTAGAGGGGGATTTTTACTCTCTGAGTAGCAGCAGAAATCTCAAAGCCAACGCTGCATTCAGTGCTCACCTTGCAACATCACCAACACACTCATCTTCTCCTGGGAGTGTCAGACCATGGGGAGCAAGAGAAGTTTCTTTTCATAAGCTGTTCAAAACCTGAGATACACTGCCCTCTTATGGATGCAACCCCCCAAGACTGCCTGCCAACCCACAACGGCTTGGCTTGTGCCAACCTACAGCTGTTATAGGGATAGCCGAGTTAGAATCACACTGACTTCTGTTTGTTCTTTAAGATAAAAGTTAGAAACTCTACAAATAGCACTAAAAATGTTTAATCTTTATGAATTAAGTCCTGAAGTGCTACTCTCCTTTGTGTTTCTTTGAATGTAGAACCCAATACATCAAACAGAATGAAGAAATCATGTAAAAAAGGATGCCTCTAGCTTTTTCTGAAAATGTTTAATACTTTTGCTGGAAGTGTTTAATACTGTCTCTGGCCACCAAAGTAATCTCCAATTCCATTTCATACTTGTGATTCACTTGGCGGCATCTAAAATTCCTGAGATAAAAATCTGCATCCCAGGAAATGCAGAGCAATGATGCATCTGCAAATACAAGTCCAATGAGAAACTTCACAACCCTGAACATTCCCAAAAGGAGAATCTCAGCAGAACAGAGATACGCCTGCATGACACAAGCCAGCACTACATAGGTATCACCACCAGTTCCAGGTAACACATCACCAGGGCAACCCACCCCAGCTAATTTACCTTGCTTCCTGGCACAGTTAATTAGCTCAGGGGAGTGTCACAGTTGAAACTCTTTGTGCCAGAACTGGCTCAGGTACTTCGACCAGCCTACGTATAGCTGAGAACCTGCAAAGAGTGAAACATGCCTTACCTTGGTCATCAACAGCAAGGAGTTTTCACTGAAACCAAGACATGCCACTTTGTCATCAATCTCTTTTTGTCCTTTTATGTTATTCTCTAGTGCAAAAGAGGACTGTTGCAACTGAGTAAGCTGAAGTAAAAGCCTGAAATAAAAGAGGCAGTTACAAAAAAAGCACAGCGAGCAAAAGAGTAAGTCAGCAAACCCAACCAAAACGTAATAGTTTAAACCAGCCCTTCCTCCTGATTTTTGCCCACTGCAAAGAAACAAATACACCCAGATCAATCTACTGCTTGTCTGGTAGGTCCATGCTATGAGAGGAGTACTGACAAGTACTGTGCCCAAGCATTTTCTCCCGATGTATTCATCACACAATTCAGAAGTGAAGCTTGGACCTGCGACCATTAACTGCAGCACATCATGTGTCCCACATCCTTGTTAAGGATGTCTCAACAAGACAGCGGCACGTTTTTGCCTATGGCAGTGATTATCTTTGTAACCTGAAAAGGTAGAAATTTGGGAGCTTCAGACAAATATCAAACATCCTCCCCACAGAGGCCAATTCGCAAATATTCTCTAAAATCCTTTACCAGTTCTACATTCAAGGTGCTGCCCCAGAAGCCACCAGCAGGATTCAGCAAAGGTTAGACACTGTGCTCACAACGTGGTTTCATGGCACAGAGGGATCCCACCACCTACTGCTCCACCAGAGAGAGCAGTGGCAGCTCTGAGCCCTCCTCGCACAGGGACTGTAAAATTTGTCAGCAGACCAAATACCTAAGTGTGTTCAATCAAGGGACCACTGGGACTTAGCAGTACTGTTACTGAAACTATCTTTAATTCAAGCTTTATGCATAAAGAACAACAACAATTTTTTTAATGACATTTACCAAAGTTAAATGAAGCAGGTGCTGTAATAAAGGTGTGTATTTTTATGAAGAGAAGATTTAAGATCTTAGATGAAAGTTTTCATTTGACCATCGTAAACATCAAAATTTACAACTCTGAACCAACAAACCATTTGTAAACTGAGTCAAGTTTTGGCTGGGAAATTCAAAGTAAAAATGGAAAGTATTTTCAGTTTGTAAAATGTTTTCATTTCAAAATTTTCATCAAGATAATGTAAGAAAGAACGAAATCTCTATGAAAATTAAACAATTTCTCCAGTATTTTTCTGTTGACAGAACTAGAAGATCTAATTATTCATGATGCTTTAATGCAGAACCTTATTTCCTACAAAAAGCAATACTAACATCCTTTTTCCACGTGCAATTTAACCTGCACATACATTTATACCATGTCCACATCTCACTTAAAATCTAGCAGAGTTGAAAACAGTAGACGACCTGTGTAATGCATGAACCCTAAGCAGGGGAGAAACTTGCCCTGGACAAGTGTACCTCCACATATAAACCACAGAAACACTTTGTGAAACTGTGCAGCCAAGCAAGGAAATCCCACAATTTAGAATTGTCTCAGTGCTGAACCACAGACACAAAATAAGCAGCACATATTATTTTAGTATGAATGTAGCATTAATATTCAGTATCAGTACTAAATGTATTAACTTCTCCCAAGCAGCAATTAAAATCATCGTCTCTTAGTCTGAGTACTGTTCAAAGCTACTATAACTTTTTTTACATTTATTAAATCTTACTCTAACAGGGCAGTTATAAAGTGTTCTCTGTAAACAATTGTGGAAGTTCATAAAATGGCTTTAAATACATTCAGTGACTAATATATTACTGAGAGACAAGGGGTGAGGGGGTGAGAAACCCTGAGACTACTTTAACAAAACCAGTTCCTTATTGTCTCTTTGAAAGATTATGTTTTGGTTTTTTTGTTGTGTGCAGGGGTTTTAGGGAGAGAGGGAAGAAAATGAAAGAGCGTTTTAATGCAGCCCTGTCAATCAGCTGTCACAGAGTTCATTTTTCAACCTCATCCAGTATGCAGATCAGGGTATTATACTAAAATACATTTTCGCTCCAGCATGAAGCTTCAAGCAAGAGAGACAGGTGGCACTCGTGGAAGGAAGCCTGGCTGCCCTTCCCTTTGGGGCTTTAACACCACACCAGGAAACAGCCGAGCTTGAACAGGAGCACTTGATGAAGAACAAGCCCTTCTGTATATAATTACCCCCAAAAAATTCACATAAGGTCACTGAAAAATGCTTTACTTCTCAACACTGCATGACACTGGTTTACTCCTTCCACTCAGATTTAGGCTGGTCACAGCTACCATGCTGGTAGATTTTACTTTTTAGACCTGAAGCAACAGCAAGATACTTCTAAGCTAGTGGTGCCAGCACCAAAACAAACATTTAAATTGAAAATGTGAACTGAAAATATTAAGGCTGGGAAAAACATGCTTTAAACTGTTCTTGACTGGAAGAAGTTAACATTCATCTAAGAATATGTTTCGTTACCTTGCTCTAACAAAGGAGGCACCTGCCTTTATCCCAGCTTTCTTCAACACGTTCTGCTCCTGGGACTCCGAGGCTGAGCGTTTTCCTTTGTCCGTCCTTCCCGGTTCTTCTGAAGTGCAGAGGAATTCTTTTACAGCTTGGCTGCTGCCACGAGTCCCTGCACTCTCTCTTGTTTCTGTGGCAAGGCTGGACCAGGAGCCTTCTTTATGGCTGTCTGATGTGTGAGACTCCAAACTAATCTCTCTTCCAGCTGATGTTTTGAAACTATTATGGTTTACACAAACCTCTTCAGCCTGATTTAGATTTGTTTCTGGAATGACTAATGTAGACAAACTCTGTAAAAGGCTCATATAAGCTTCAGCAAGTAACTTCCAGTACCAAGGGTTGAAAGGATGTAAGCAGATCAGTTGCTGCAGACACATCATCTTTTTTTCTGTGTTTCCCAGACCCTTGTAAATGGCGAACTGTAGGTTGAGAACTGTCGTTAAGTGATCTGTGTTAGTAGCACTGCTTCTCTAGAAACAAATGGTAACAGATTAAAACCAGGAGTAGAACAGAATAAACCCTCAGAGTCTAATAAACCGTCTCCCTGAATGATGACACACAAATATCACTAAAGGTAATTTTTAAATTGTACAAAACTGTGCTCTTAATTGTAAGTGACAGAAGCTGATGCAGATCAGGCACGATCCAGGTGACAGCATTCCCTCTGGCTGCCCTGTCCCAGTCTGAGAGGCATGAAGAAGAAACAACCTCTGCTGTTGTTTGTTTGCCTTCAGAGTTTTATACATCTACCCTGCTTTGTAATACAAACACCTTTCATATAAAATAAACAGCAGCAGTAAGGTTCTAGCAGACTTCAGAGCCTCTGGACCTTCCCTTTATGAGAAAAACCCAGTTTGTGGTTAGATCCTCTTCTTGGTGGCAGTCTGGCAACAAGTATGTGCAAATAAAAGGGAGTTTTGAACCGTCACTCTTATAATGGAAAGATTTAAACACTCATTTATCCCCTTCCTTACAATTCCTATTACATTACATTAATTCTGCCTGGCAGAGCATGATATTTAGTCCCTTCCAGGACTACCAGTCTCCCTGCACAGGGAGCTCATTGTGGTACAGGGTGTTCTGATTTCTAAAGAGTGATTATATCTGCAGTGACAGTTACCCTCTGTTTACCAAATACTCTGCACACTGAACATCCTAAGGGATTACACACATGAAGATTATTTTTCCAGAAAATGGTCCATATAAAAGAACTGCTGGCAATATTTTCATGCTCAAAGCCTAAAAGAATGGTTGCCTTATGTACCATTTTTTCTGCAATATCCAGAGCCTCCTTGTGCCTTCCTAGGTGAGACAAGCACCGAGCCTGGCCCTCCTGGACATCTCGTCTCATTGCAGTGTTGCTGGCAGGTAAGAGAAGTAGGCAGTTGGAGTATTCACACAGGGCTTGCTAGTTGCGTCGACAAAAAGAAAAGCCAAACAAAGAGTGAGAGATTTTGATTTCAAAGCAAGCCTGACGATATGTTTTGTTTATGACTACAGTCACAAAGAGGACTCAGGAGTTGAAGTCCACATTTTCATTTCTCTGGACTCAGCTACCACCTGTATGCCAGCAACAGACTAGAGCCCCAGTACCACAGAGCCAAGTCTCCATGGTGGCGAGCAAGCTCAACCCGAACCCATGTTTAAGCCCCGGCATTTACCACACATCTGTCCACCCCTCCCCTACCAGGCCTGATTCAGAAGGGAACATCTACCAACTCGGGCAATATGTGGCACGAGGCATCTTTCCTCCAGCTGCTAACTCGATGATTGGAGAACTTATCCTACATCTGGTGGGCCTTGTTTCAAATCCATGACATCCTCCACGGGAAGGTTTGAACTTGCAAGTACCTCACCTCAAGTGAATAATCAGCACATCAGAGAATACCACAAGGAAAGTGAATCTCCATCTTTCCTGTAGGGTAGTTCTAATTTGCATGAAATAATTAAGTATTAATTTGGCTAAGGAAAAAGGCAAGAATGAGCAATACTTCTGTAGCTTAATGCTCAGGGCACTCACCAGGACTCCAATTAACATTTAAACACATTAAGAATTCGGTGAAGCTAAGACTGGAATCTTGGTTGGTTCCTTCCCCTCTGTGTAAGTGCTCAGACCAGAAGACTAAAGAGCAGTGCTCATTCTCCCATCTCTCAAAATGAATATTTAATTACTCCTTGCAAACATGAATGGTTCTAACAGACAGAGCTTCCAGGCAACATACCCTAACTGCTTCCCAGCAAAACTGCTGAAATATTTTTCTTCCTTGGTGTTAAGCTCACATTTCTCCTCAAGCAGAAGACAGAGAACCTCTCTGCCTAGCACAGCCGCCCCCTTCACCTCGTTATGTGACAAAAGGATACAACCTGGCAAGGATCAGGCATTACGAATCCCAGGCAGATTCCACAGTCATCCAGGTCATAAAAACAGGCACAGCTTACTACAGCTGGCATGGAAAGGTATTCACAGTGAGTGAAGCGACTAATACCCCCACTTATTTATTTCCATCCCCCTTTCTACGGCCAGTGACGTCAAATCTGTACTTTTATGTGCACTCTAGTTCTGGTTCTGTCACAGTGATCCATGTTAGCAGTAAGACTGACAACTAGACATTTTTAACATGGAACACTGCAGCCCAGAAGGCCAACCAGATCCTGGGCTGCATCAAGAGAAGTGTGGCCAGCAGGTGGAGGGAGGTGATTCTCCCCCTCTACTCTGCTCTGGTGAGACCCCACCTGGAGTACTGCATCCAGTTCTGGAGCCCCCATTACAAGAGGGACGTGGACCTGCTGGAGCGTGTCCAGAGAAGGGCCACGAGAATGATCCGAGGGCTGGAGCAGCTCTCCTGTGAGGACAGACTGAGAGAGTTGGGGCTGTTCAGTCTGGAGAAGAGAAGGCTCCCAGGTGACCTTATTGTGGCCTTCCAGTATCTTAGGGGGGCCTACAAGAAAGCTGGGGAGGGACTTTTTAGGCTATCGGGTAATGACAGGACTAGGGGGAATGGGGCAAAGCTGGAAGTGGGTAGATTCAGGCTGGATGTGAGGAAGAAGTTCTTCACCATGAGCGTGGTGAGACCCTGGAATGGGTTGCCCAGGAAGGTGGTTGAGGCTCCATCCCTGGGGGTCTTTAAGGCCAGGCTGGATGAGGCTCTGGGCAGCCTGATCTAGTGGAAGGTGTCCCTGCTCATGGCAGAGGGGTTGGAACTGGGTGATCCTTGTGGTCCCTTCCAACCCTGACAGATTCTGATTCTGTTTTAGCAGAGGACTTAGTAGTGTTGGCTTAATGGTTGGACTTGATGATCTTAAAGGTCTCTTCCAACCTAAAGGATTCTATGATTCTATGACAGAGAAGGGTTAGGAAGCAACAGTCTGTTCCACTAGCAGATCTGGGGAGGTGTCATTCTCCCCTGAGAGGGCACCAGAGCACACAGCAAGGAGCAATCTGCTCTTCCTGAGGCTCACCAGCCATGTCTGACTGCAGCTTGAGGCATCGTTTTTCCTCAGTACACTTTTCTGAATGCCTTTGGGGCGTCTCAGCTGACTGAAGGGCATATTGGGTATGGACAAGGCAGCAGTAGTGCTGGAGAGGCACTAAGAAGCAGAAGGCAGTGTGAACTGAGCTACAAAAATATCCACAGACCCAACGGGTCAGGTGAAAGGAGTGGAGGCAGAAGTCCTCCTGAGGGCTTTGAAATCAGGGAGCCATTGATGCAAACTATAGCCTAGAACAAAAAGCCATAACAGTAGAAACAAGGGCAAAAGGACCTGATTTCAACCAGTAAACAAGGTGACAAAAGACTGGATCCTGCAGCTAAGACTATAGAGGCGGGAGCCCATCAATGATCCACAATGCAGCTCAGGAAGAAGGCAGCAAGGACAGGACCTAGGACTACGGCAGGCAGGAACAGACACAGGGAATGGCAACGCAGCCCCAAAGGCACGACCAGCCATCCAGAGCGAGGGGAGAGAACAGAGAGGTGGGACAGTCAACGATGAAGCTCCTAAGCCCGCGGCCAGGAGCCTGACAACTTCAGTCAGCTTCCACTTGCGAGAGGTGAGTAGCAGCAACCTGGCAGTCCCCGCGGGACTGGTGTTATCCCCAGGCGCAGAGACACTCCCATGCTTGACTCTGGCCGCCCGTGCCTTCCACGGCCACAGGCACCAGCTCCGCTCGCTGCTGAAGCCCTCGGACGCGCAGGCCGGACCTGGCTC